TTTTTTTGTGTTTTATTTAAGGGAAGTGGCCCATTCGGCTGGGCCAAAACCTAGGCGCGTTTTGCACGATACGGTCAACGGTTAATAGTCAATGGTCAACAGTTGACAGACTCGTGGTCCACGGTTGATCGGTCAACAGTTAATGCTGACTTTGACTAATCAACGGACAGTTTTTGACTAAAAAAAAATTTAAAAGGTATTTTTGGTCATTTTGTGGTGAATTTTCTTTCTAATTCAGTTTAAATTTAGTTTTAGTTATACCTTTTAATATTGGTATGTGCATATACATATTGAAATAAATTAATTTACACAACAGGCCACCAAATTGACTTCTCTTGTAAATAATGTATTTATTTTATAATGTACACAATTGTATTGTGTAATTTATGTGAATGTTAATCGACCTAAAGTAATGTTAATATTTAACATTATTGTATTCATTAGTTATTCTGATTCTGATTTTGCCGGATGTCAAGACAGCAGAAAATCTACATTAGACTATATTCACTTGCATTTTATGGAGCTATTTCCTGAAAGAGTGGTAAATAAACACGTGTAGCATCTTCTACTATGGCAGCAGAGTTTGTAGCTTATTATGAGGCATCCAGTCATGGAATATGGCTGCAAAATTTTATCACTGGGCTACGTATTGTTGATGATTTAGAAAGATTATTAAAGTTATATTGTGACAATAAATCTACAGTTATGTATTTCAACAACAATAGGAGCTCGACGAAATCAAAGTATATAGATATCAAGTTCTTTGTTGTTAAAAAAAAAAGTTCAGAGTAAGTAGATATCGATAGAGCACATTGAAACAAACTCCATAATTACAGATCAGCTCACTAAGGGATTACCACCTAAGGTCTTTCATGAGCACATTGCTCATACAAGTGTTGTATCCCTATATGATGTGTAGTTTTAGTAAGAGTCTTGTACCATAATTGTATTTATTTTGTAAGACATATCATAAATTTTGTACTTTGGTTTGATTTATGTATATATGGTTTCATTTTAGTTTTTTGTGTATATGTTTATATATATATTATTATCTCTAAATTTTCTTACAGTTGATCTCACTAAAATTAAGACATGACCAGTTAGAAATAAATATGCTTATATCACATATAATATAATTTTTATGTTGCATATTCATGTTTGATCCATATCGTTCGGTTATACTGATATACGTGACCATTGATGGGTTTAACTATATTAGCTGTAGCGAAAATCGTTTTGATCATATATCTTTATGATCGATGGACGAGATTGTTTGATGATGTATTCAGCTATTGATAGTACAGTTCTGAGTACTCCTACGGTTATTTAACGCATAATTAAAGTGTCACATAAAGTCCAAGTGGGAGATTGTTGAATTTTTTTCTAATGTGTGGGCTTAATGTGGACATTAGTATGCATAACATGTTATCAATTTAATGAGGTCGTTTAAAAGTGATCATATATGGTTAATGCATCGGGTTTAAATATGAACTTATAATATGCAAATACTAATTTTGTAATATTCTCATTTTATGATGGACGAAATAGAAATTGCAAAAGTTTGTCGATATAAAAGGCGGTTATGGACTCCGAATCATAATATTGTCATTTTTATTTTTATGAAATTATGTCACCAGAAAAAAAACTAGTTTCAAAGCGCTATGTTGATTTGAAAGATCCTACCACCAAACACGAACAAATTTTTTGTGATGAATTCAAGTACGCTTCCATTTATATTTTTTATTAATTCAGTACGAGAATATATGTTTAATTTTTACAGATTTATGGATTTGAAAAGAATTTTTATTCTAACACTTTTTAACTAATTATAGTTAATAATCAACCTCTATTTGATTATTATCTAATTTTATCACTATCTCCAAGTAAATTTGGTGTTCAATCCATATTAAATAATTTTCTACCAATGAGAATATAAACATATTATTTTGAAATTGAAATATCACGCATCAAATATGTAAACTAAAATATCACTGGAGCACTTTTCGGTCGCCAAACGAGGTAAAAATTCTCTTATTGACTCAGAATTCGATTCTAAACCCACTTGTGGCTAAATCGGAGTCAAAACATCGACTAATTGGCCAGAAAACACCGCCGAAGCCCAGCGGCATTGTCACGAGTTTTCTCAATTTTTGCCTCCGATGAGGCCCTTCCCGATTCCCGTTCGATGTAATTTTTATACCATTGTGACCACCGTTCCTTCCTCTACAAGTTGACCGGAGCAAAACACCAAATCACGACTCGAGCTGGAGGAGCTGCCGCACCGGAGAGTCCCGCCGCCAGTAAGTTTCGATTTTCGATATTTTTTTGGGCCAATTGAGGGCCCTAGGGGTGTTTTCTCATATGAACCAATGCAAGTTTGACCGAATACTATAAAGAAGATGACATTCCTAAGACATCCTTTAGAATCAGATACGAACACAATGAGTTCCTAGTCATGCCATTTGGGCTAACCAATGCGTCAGCAGTTTTTATGGACTTAATGAACTAGGTTTTCAGGTAATTCTTAGATCAGTTCATCATTGTGTTTATTGATGATATCCTATTCTATTCAAAGAGCAGAGAGGAACATGTTCATCACCTTACTTAGGTTTTACAGGTTCTTAGGAAAAAAAAGTGTTGTATGCAAAAATGAGTAAGTGTGAATCAATTAAGGACCCCTCATCTTATTTCCTATCACGAGATTAAAGTTTAATAAATGATAAAACTGTATTTTATGAATTAAATAGATATATATAAGTATTACGGTTACTAATAGAGCCCTCAACCGGACATATTTCTCTGTTAGTTTCTGTTTGATTTATTTTACAGTTTAAATGCAGTACAGTATCTGATTTATTTATTCCATAGTTTTGAATGCATGAATCACTGTTTACTTCATTATGGCTTGATTTTGTGAATCCGATGATATGCTTGCCTTGTTGGACACTCGTTACTTGTTTAAAGTATTTATGTTTATGTGAAAAATAGAAAACTAAGAAAAAAATAAAAAATGTATATAAATTGATAAATGGATAAGTTGACAGCCTCATTAGATATCCTAGAAGATGGTGAACAGACCGAGTCCATAGGGAACCATACTGGGAACGTTGTCTCATATCGGATGGAGTATAGAGACTTTAAATGTTTTGGCGCTCATATCAGACGAGATATGAGGACGGCCCGCTTCACCTTCATACCAGATGGGGTATTGAGGTTTATTATTTGGCGTCCATACCGGACGGGGTATGTGGATGGCCCTGGAAATTAAGTTTGTTAAGGGAGTGGTTCACGTGTAGCGGGGATCCCTATGGATCCCCATGGATACTAGTAAGCTGATAAAAAAGGGCTGTTGTTTGATGATTGGAATATAAAAGTATGACATGTACTACGTTACAAATTATGTATGAACTTATGATATCTATGATGTTATTATTTTCATATGTCGTTTTTATAAATCCCACTGAGGTAAGTGGACAGTAAATGATTTAATTATTGATAAATAAATTTACTTGAAACTTGTGCTCCATTAGTTGTTTTTGGTTTTTTACCAACCTTTACTTCTGTGACAGTAATATAGTGTGATGTCTTTACTGGGCTGGTGTAGTTCATTCCTTACTTAACCATTTCAGATCAGAATGACTTAGTTCCCGAGCCCGATCTACAAAAAGACGGCGAGTAATTACCTAAATGTTTATTAGTTTCTCTTATAGTTTTCATATCCATTATTTTCCTTTAGATGACTTATTTTCGGTATTGTTAGTACGTTTAAGTTATTGTGTAAGGGATATTACCAGAACCTTTTATTTCGCTTACGTACTAATATTCTTCATATACATTTCCTTTTCAAATTTTCGGGGTCGTTATTGTAGGCACTTTCTTGCATAGTGCTGGGCACTTTCATATATGAGACAAGTATTGTTGAGGCGATAGCAAAGTCGATTCTCATGATCCTTGCTACAATATTGGCAAGCCTTACTGCGTCCTGTTGTTGAAGCCTGAGTAGGAACTTGATAAAGGATAAAAAGAAGAACAGAACATACATGCAAATAAGTAATTTTATTATTATTTTTTGAATTGAACTGTAACCTTTTAAATTCCCGAATATTTTTTTTTTAATTAGTGCTACTGGTTTAATTTACTAAACATTTAATGTGTTCAAAATAATAATTATTATTTTTTTCAAAATAACTGTAGCTCTTATATTTGTTAGAAGGTGCAAATAAATAAAAAGGGAACACTCATTTAAAATAGTATAACAACTTAATATTATGTTTAAAATAATTTGTGTGAAATTCATATTGTAGAAAATAGAAATTGATCTTAGAATTGTAAATAAAATAATAAAATTTTGGAATATAATTTTTTAATTTCACTTAAAGTTTTATTTAAAGACTAATTTTTGTTCTTATTATTAGAGATTTATTTTTATTATTTTTCATTAAGTTTTCTGTAAAGATATACTTTGTGTAAATTATATAGATTTTTAAAATTTTATTTATAATATTAAAAAATAATGCTGGGTGATCGCATAATAAATTAATCTAATAATTTTGGTTTATTTTTGAAAAAATATTAAATCATGATTAGGTGTCTGTTTATTACCAACTATATAATAATAAGACAAATTATATATAATTAAAGCTTTCAAAAATTTTACAGATATAGTTTATTTATTTTATAAAAATTGAATTATATAAAAAAACACATTTAATTATAAATAAATTTATTTTTTAATACTTATATACCCTGTTTTCCTTTTTATTTTTTTTTTAGAGAAATACTTATAAACCCTGTTTGTAGCTAAACAAATAAGTTATAACAACCAACTTTCAAAAAGGGCAAAAAAAAAAGTATAAAAACTTGTGAGCGGGAACCAAACGGTTCCTACATTTTCTTTTGAAACAAACTCTTGATCCTTGAGCGAGAAGGAAAAGAAATCAGTTACAGCCCTTGCAGCAGGAAACTCTCAAGCGCGGCACGAAGGTTGGGAAAAGAAATCCGATCGAGTTTTTCGAGACAGTCGAGACGAGTACTTCTCTTTCAGAGAGAGAATGAGTAAGATTGCGGAAGTAGGACAGCTTAACTTCGGAGAATGGCCCCCGAGGGGGGGATCTCGCACTATTGACTGCTTTGACAAATTGGAGCACATCGGTGAAGGAACTTACGGGTACGTACTTCTTTAGTTTTCTTGCCTTTATCTCAATTGTTTCCGTTTCTGTTTGGTTCTGAAGAAAATTCTTGATTTCTTGCTGCTGTTAAATCGACTTCATGGCTACCGGGTGAGCTTAGCATCTTCTGTATTCATTTTCTTTTTCTATTATATGCTGTTAATATTGATTGCGGTATTTGCTTCGATGTTTTCCTGATTGCTTATTCTCTATTAATAACATTGCTTTGTTCCGCAGCCTGCTGTATTATACATGGTTTGGCTGAGCGATCTTTGTTTGTCATTCTGTTTTTCAGATTTTTTTTCTTTAATTTCTCGACTGAAAATTAGAAATAGTTAGGTTTATTTGTTGGTGCATACATGATTAAGAGGTTCTGGCAGTATAAAATGATTAAGCAAGAACCCAAGACACACTTTCATTAAAGTGTGATCCATAGTTAAATAGAGATTGCAAGATTTTGTTCACGTTCACGTTCACGTTCACATTCTAATCTTGCAAAATTTTGAACTTCTTGTTTCTGAATAGAAAAGAAAAAAAAAATCCTAATCCATAATATATGTTGTTGTTTATAGAAAATAACATATAAGTTTTATTGAGAGATAGTGATGGAATTTGCAATTAGTTGTTTCAATTCCATTGAGAGTTCAGGGGGTGAATTTTCATTTTGCAAGAGGATTTAATCTTAACTGAAATAAGTGTAAACTTTTAAAATGTTCAGGGGAATTAGTTGTTTTAAAATGTTCATTTGCTTCAAACATAGCCCCGAGTTCCTTTTCCCCCTCTTTTTTTCTCTCGAATCTTACCGCATATCCTTGAATTAAGGAGAGTGAGTGCAAAAGAAAGAAAGCATGGCATGACCTTTTTAAATTTATAGTATAAGAAAAATTAGTAAATGAAAGCAGGCGATTATGTGCATACCTAGTTTGTTCTTAAAATCAAATTGGCGGAAAAGGAAAGAAAGAAAGAGTTTAATTTTAATGATAAAGTTTTTATTTTATGTTAATTGTATATCTTGCATCTTTTTTAATAGTGATGTTATTCTCATGCTTAATCCTTTTGTTTCCTTTACAAACCTAAGCTAAAGAGAATACTGTTGGCATGGAGTCCGTCCAGGTGCTATTGGAGACTGGATATAGGGCTCATGAATAAAATCAGCAGACTTGTTAAGCCACTTGTCTTACTTTGTCTTGATCCTGCATGGAGTGCAGTTTAAGATAAAAAAGACTTGTATCTTTTTGTCACTGAAGCTGCTGGAAGTAAATTAGTAACCACCACACCGCTTATTTTGAAAAAAAAACCACCAACTCACCTTCGTGATGGATAAAAGTATGTGAGTAGTTTTTTTTTTTTTTTTTATAGAGAACACCAGAGTGCTTGTGTGGGAAAGTTAAAAACAATTTTGAAACTCGAACTCTATTTCCTGTTTAAAAATTTCTACATTGATTAAACCATTGAGTTTTCTTTTTTTCTTGGGAATGAAGTATGAGATCTCTCTGAGATGTGCTTGCCTTCTGGAATAGTTGTTATTTAGTTGCATGTTTTTCCAGTCAGGTTTACATGGCCAGAGAAATCGAATCTGGGGAAATTGTTGCTCTTAAAAGGATACGCATGGAAAATGAACTAGAGGGGGTTTGTTCTTTCCTTATTGTGCTCTTTTGATTTTATATATTATTCATATGGAAGTTAGTAATGTAAATTGTAAGGCATATTTGCTTTTCTCTCAAGAGTTGACATGTTCAAATTTTTTTATCCAGTTTCCAATGACCGCCATCCGAGAAATTAAGATTCTTAATAAGCTTAATCATGAAAATGTTATAAAGCTGAAAGAAATTGTGACTTCTCCAGGTATTTGGTTTCCTGGTTCATAAATCATTTCCAGATATATATATATATACATATATATAGCAATGGCATATTTCCTTTGCTTGATAAAATTTCTGCCTCGAAGGTCGTGGGAGGGATGAACAAAGGGGACTTGGTGAGTGAAACTACTGCATTTGATCTAATTTAGTTCGTTTTGTTTATATTTTTTACTTTTATCCTGTACAGAGAATTTAGTATGATCCTAAAAGTATTCTGGCTAACCTTCATTTTTTTTAATTATGTATTTCCGGGCCACAGATAATAAGTACAAAGGTGGCATCTACATGGTGTTAGAATACATGGATCATGACTTGACGGGGCTTTCTAAACGTCCTGGAATGAGATTTACAGTGAGCCAGATTAAGGTATCATATTTTATACACTCAGCACGGGGATGTGTCTTTAATCTTGAATATTTTATACCAGAAAAATCAACTGACAATTTTCTTTTTGACAGTGTTACATGAAACAGCTGTTGACTGGTCTTCATTATTGTCATATCAATCAAGTACTTCATCGGGACATCAAAGGTGGTCATCAAATTGTGATTTCGGGGTTAGAGTGTTTACCAGTTGCATTTTTGGCTATTCTTGATCTTCACTTTCATGCAGGTTCTAACCTTTTGATAAATAATGAGGGAAATTTGAAACTAGCAGATTTCGGGCTTGCAAGATTTCTTCCTTCTAATAATAGAGAAAGTCTTACTAATTGTGTTATTACTTTGTGGTATAGGTATGTTTTTATTTGTGTTATTTATGTGTGTGAATTTATATTTAGCTGGTTGAGACTGATGCATGCATCAGGCCCCCAGAGTTGTTACTTGGATCAACAAAATATGGTCCAGCTGTTGATATGTGGTCTGTTGGTTGTGTCTTTGCTGAGCTTTTGAATGGGAAACCGATCTTGCCTGGTGAAAACGAGGTGAGCCCTAGATTTCTTCATATCACCAAGCTATATCATGAATTAGTATCTTTATTTTCCTTGATGATTTACATTTTTATAGATACCATGAATCTTGTAATGAGAGTCTGAGATGATTGTAATATTTTGCTTTAACATTCAAAATCCTGAACCAAAGAGGTTATGCAAAATTAGTTAGAAATTTAGATGATGAAGTTAAACATCAGTTTGATGCTTGGCTGTTGTTTCCAATGATAATAGGGCATCCAATATCCTTCGTACCTTTTTAAATGTGTGATTACTTGATTTCTTAATGTAGAAAGTGACATAATTATTTCCCCCCTGCATTATTCGTAATAAAATTTGAATCATTCATTGGATTGCTGAGGAAAAATGTGTTTATAATTACAATTTTTAGATATCTTAGTTGAAACATAAGCTTTATGGAGGAATATGAGTTTTGATTATTTCTTCTTTACTTTGCACATGTCCTGCAACGAATTGTACAAAGTTTTTGTAACATTACTTGTGGTATAGTTATCGAATATGCCTTTTTATTTTTTGATTCTACATAACACAGTTAGTTAAATGCTTCTACTGGAGTATGTTTAAATTTTCTTGATTGTGTTAGCTGCTGCTTCCTTATATATATATATATATATATATATATCTTGGTTAACAATGGGACTTTGTTTCGAAGGTATACTGACCTTTAATGAACGATTACCGACTCAGGCTAACCTAGAGCTTATATAAGGAATAAAGCGGGCTTGATGAGCATTTGAAGAAACGTAGATTCTTAAAAGAGCGTTAGAAATTTAAGAAATTCTTATGAAGTTGAATGTGGTGCTAGCTAATAATGTTTGTGCCATAAATGTCTTTTTAGAATTATGCATAGGAGAATCAATTAATATGATATATCCTATTTTTAATTGTTTCTTACTACATATCTCTTGTTACAGACTGAGCAATTGAACAAGATATTTGATCTTTGCGGGTCACCGGATGAAAATAACTGGCCAGGGGTTTCCTTGATTCCTTGGTACGATAATCTCAAGCCAACAAGACCCATGAAGAGACGTGTTAGGGAGGTTTTCCAACAGTGAGTGAAGAAGATCAATTTCCTTGGCATTTTTTTTTGAAAATTCGGTTCCCCATCTTGGTACAGGAGATCCTATTTTGTTTCCTTTTTTTTTTTTGTTTTAATTTATAGTTTTGACAGTCTTGCCCTTGATTTACTGGAGAGATTGCTGACGCTTGACCCATCCCAGGTATCACGTTCAATATTTATCATCAAGCTCTCATTTTTTTAGCTGCTTGTAATCGTCTGTTAGTCCTTTACATAGGTGCCATTTGGATTTGCTAATTCTTTAAAAAGCTTATGAATATACGTAGTCTATAACCTCTGTGTTTTGTATAACCCCCTGAAAAACAAGTCACAATGTGTTTGGTTAGGTATGTTTCTATTTGCTTACAAATTTCTCCTAATTGTTTGATGAAAGAATCTTTATAAGTTAAAAGTTGGTGAAGTAATCCCTGGAAATAACACGGTAACAAGAATTTGGTTAATTTCTTGGTTAATACCCGACTAGGAACAGGTTTAGATGTGTTGGGTTAGGCGTGTTTCTTTTTTGTTTTCTTTGGAAACGTAAGAAAATAATATGAAGCTAGAAGGAAGCACAGCAAACCACACAGTAGCGCACCACAGAACACCAACAAAATAGGAACACAGAACAAACACTAGAACAGCTGCATGGCAAACAGGGGCTAAAAGGAGCGCTGCCCAGAAATCGCCAATAAAACGGAATCGCTGTCTCGCAAACACAACTAGAGAAAACAACACATCCAGGTCATATCCAATCAAGCAGCCAGAGAGTCTGCAGAGGAATTTCTCTTCCTGTTAATGCTTATAATTTTTACAAAATTGAGTTTCTCCACGCCTCCTCATTTCAATGGACTCCATAAGCAGCTTCTAAGGCATGTCTTTCTTAGAGGTGCCACAAACAGCCACTTGCGAGTCACTTTCCCCCATCAGTTCTATTTCACTAGCATCAGGACTGGACACCACTATCAGAATTCGTTAGGTGTGTTTCTATTTGGAGATTTATAAACTTCACTTAAGTAGATTGCGTGTTTGATAAAAGAATATTCTAAAAGAAACCACAAGGTCCTAATTATTATTCTCCATTTGGCTTATAGGCTAAAACACAGTTACCGAATATGTATGTGTGATTTTTTTCCCTTGTCAAACAGACAACCAAACATCCCTTAGATTAGTTTTATTTCCTTGAAATGATAGTTCTTGTAGTGTGATCTTTTTTTGCATACGTGTTCATTGGAAGCAAATTTATACTTTCCTAGTGATGTAGAATGAGATGATATTAGAATGAAGGATTTTACATACTTTAGTAATTATTGTGATATCTTTATACTTGGGAAATAGTATGCAGTTTTAGTATATTTAGAGATTTCTCATTTTCTCTTTATTATTTTGGTTTTTTCCTATACAAAGGCTACTAGCATGGACATTAATAGGCAATGCTGAATTGAGAATTGTTTTGCTTTTGAGGGTCAACACTAAGTTCTGTATTTTGTTTCCGATTTGAGAGAGTCACTTCTGTAGGAAAAACTATGTCAATGGCTCTCTGTTGCTTAAGGTTTCCAAACTTTCATTGTGCACTTACTATGAAGTTTTATGCAATTATTATAATGAAATGGCATATTTGAGCAGCCTCAACTCAAGCAACAGCAATGTGATTTAATACTGAAACCTCAGTTCTGGTTGATTTTAATCAGAGACTGACAATACTTGTGTCCCATGTTTGCTTTTTTTTTTAATTTCTATAGAGAATATGTGCCATAGATGCCCTTGACGCCGACTACTTCTGGACTGACCCTTTACCATGTGATCCCAAGAGGTGATTTTTTTTTTTCATTTTAAATGGGTCCTGTACTTAATCTATTTTTTTTTTCATTTTAAATGGTTATTGTTCATGCTCAATATAAGAAAATAGCTGCACTAGACTTGCAATCTCCTGTGGGGAAAACAGAATATGTTAGTGCCATGTGTCAGACAAGTTGAAGTTCTTTGGCAATTATTTGTATCAAATTGGTCCTTAATATTTTAATTGAAGCAATTAACCCTCCTGTATTTTTTAATAAAATAACACAGTTGGTAAAACCATATTTTAACTTCCAACACATTTTTTAGGGAACATAAAAGATATATTTTTCTTTAAGGGTATATGAATAATTTGACTATTCTTCAAATTTTTCCATGTTTCGCTGAAAATCCCTTAGCTTCTTCTCCAAACACATTCTTCCATGTAGGGCTGAAAATCATTTTCTTCAACATATTTTTGAGGAAACTTAAAACATACGTTATTCTCAAAGGGTATATGAGTAGTCTCACTATTCTTCAGTTCTTCCTCATGATATCTAGTGGGTTGAAGTTGATATATGCTCGACGTTAAGGCAGCATCACATTATATTGCTTGGCAAAGTGCTTGAACAAAGACTTTTTGTGTTTGACAATGGATTTTTCTTGTTTTGACTTTCACCTGGTTACCTCATGATATATTCCATCTTCCTTACATAAAATCTTCCTAATGCTTGCTTTTAACTTTATGATTGCGTTAACAGCCTGCCTAAATATGAATCATCTCATGAATTCCAGACAAGGAAAAAGAGGCAGCAACAGCATGAAGAAGCAGCAGCGAGGAGACAGAGGTTGCGGCAGCAGCATACTCGACTGACTAACCATCCCTACTACTATGTCGAGCCTCGCGGTCCAGCAGGAGATCAGACTGGGTATCCTCCAAGTGGAAGTTCTGAAGTTGGTCCGTCGGATTATTCCCAAAGCGGAAGTTCTGGAGTTGGTCCGTCGGATTAATTCCTAAAGAAGGCAACATGGCAAATTTGCAGGCGGGAGGGGTCCTGGTAATCGAAATCAACAGTATAATTAACAGCAGTTAAGTATGGATTTATTTTCAGAGTAGAAGTAGTTAATAGAGGAAGTTGACATGGAAGAAACTGCCCCAATATCTTTAGTTGGAGTTTTGCGATGATTAGTCAGTTTGTTTTTAGTAGAAAACAAAGAATAGTTATTCTGGTACTTAAAATTCTAACAAAAGAAAGTGAAACTACTGTTTTTTAGGGATCTAAAGGGCTTGGTGTATATGCTGCTGGAAACGTAAATGCTCTGTTAGATTTGCTTTGTGAGAGGAAATATGCAAAAGCTGTTTACTAATTCTAGAGGAAGCCAATAAGCCTTCGAACAACTCCTGTTCTTATTAGCCAAAAGGGGGGAGAAATGTATAGCTTTTGAAGAACTAAAGAGAAATTAACATGAGATACATATATTTTCTTATAGGGGGTCTCAATTTATAGTCTATTCTTTTAATTGTATTAACCTATACCTTGATATCATATATATCTATATATACATACATATATATATTTCTCAACTGTAGAAATTTAAAATGCTTTATTTGCATTTTGATTATGTTTTGAATTATGTGTTTTTAATTTTTTCAATTTAAATTTTTAAGGATTCCTAATAAATGTGTTAAGGGCTATCTAAAAATTACCTTTATATTTCAAGAACTATTAAAAGATTATTCATTTTTAACATGTATCAAAATGTTTAAGAAAGAAGGAAAAAAATAAAGAAAGTCATGAGTATGATTAGCATTAGTGAGTCTGAATTTATTTTTATTTTAGTAAATAGATTATTTAGCTAACATAAGAAAATTTAACTTTCATGAAATATTTTTTTCATTGATATATATATATATATATATATATATATGTTGATTAAGATTTAGCAAACTCGGTTATCACAACACTATTAACCGAGTCACTTGTGCAAATCATATTGTACAAAAAAAAATATATGTTATACATCTAAACTCTTGACTAATCCTAAAACAGATTTAATTTAATATTATATATTTATTTTTATTAGTCTTGAGCATTATATTTTGGTGATTGTATTTTACTTAAAGATCATGAGTTTAAAACTTTTATGAACATATTGTAGATTGACAGTGAAGTTTAATAATATTTGATTCAATAGAATTAATGATTTAACTTATTAGCATGTTAGTGTTTGCTGCAATGATCAAATTAAGTTAAGTTTTTAACATTTTAAATTTTATTTGAAGACCACTATGTGTCTTATTTATTATTAATAATATATAATTTATTATTTATTTGTATATTATAAACTAATGAGAACTTACTTATAGTGCTTAATTTAGTAGGACTAAGAATATAAGTTATTAGTATATTAACAGTATTGTGATGATCGAGTTTGATACAACCTATTATGTACCTAAATAAAAGAAACGTTTCGTGGAGGTTAAGTTTTCTTATTTAAAAATAGTTTATTTGTTTAAAAAAATCCTGAGCATAGCAATCAGCATGTCTTCATCTCTATAATTTCAAAATTAAAATGATGTATTTACAAAAATTCTTGCTTGATTTAAATCCTAATTATAACACCCAAGTGTTATTATTTTTATTTTGTAATTATTTGAATTTCTTTTTGAATTTTAATTAATTTAATTTAATTTTATGAAAATAAAAATAATAATAACGATAAAATTGGGTAAAAATATTATTTGGATTTAATTGAAATTGATTTTGGGAAAAATAGGTGAAAATTTGGATTATGGGGGTATTTTTGAAAAGAAAATCGAAAATCGGGGGTCAAAACGCAATTTAGAAAAATTGTGTCATGTCAGCATCTACCTCAGCAGCCACGTCAACAGCCCGGTCAGCAGCCCCGGCCAATCAGGACTCGTTGCGTGGCAAGGCAACGCTGACCAGGGAACGGACCACGTGGGCGATCCGCGTGCGCGCGATCGGACGGCCCAGATCCGTTTCCGCGCACACGGACGACCCAGATTCACACGCACGAAAGGCCCAGATTCAATTAGGCACGGACGGCCCAGATTACATCGCGATGAACGGTCCAGATTTAATCCCAATTAAATCGCGATCGAATGGCCCAGATTTAATCTTGATAGACGGTTGAGATTAAAAGGCAAAGGGTATAAATAACCCCACCCACACCTGACCACAAAAACCCTAGCCGCCAGTGCCTCGCCGGAGAAGAAGAACCAGACGCCGGAGGAGCCGGCCGCCGCCGCACCGGGGAAGTTTCCGACTGCCGATCGAGGTAAATTTTCTCTTCCTTGCTTGTTTTTTGATGCTGAGTCCGCCTATGGCCAAACCGGAGCCAAACCACCGGCCAAACGGCCTGAAAACCCAGCCGAAGCCCAGCGGCGCCGCCGCGCCCCTCCTCGATTTTTGCCTCTAATGAGGCCCTTCCCGGCCTCCGTTCGATACAAATTTTATACCACTGTGATCACCGTTCTTTTCTTTACAGGTTTATCGGGAGCCAAACATCAAAACGCGACTCACGTCGAAGAGCCGCCGCACCCGAGAGCACCGCCGCCGGGTAAGTTTCAGTTTTCGTGATTTTTTGGCCCACCGAGGATCCTAGGGTTGTTTTATCGTAGGGACCGATACAAGTGTGGCCGAATTCGGCCGAAAAAGACCAACCCGAGGCGAATCGCCGCCGCTTGAGGTGGCGTCGTCGCCGGAGCACAGCGGAGCCGCCGTGCCAGAATTGTGATATTGGCCGAAAGGGGCCCTAGGTCTGATTTTGGAATTTTTTGGGACACGTGCAGGTACTGGTAGTGCGTTTCAGTTTCTTGAAAAAAATTCAGAAAAATTAGGGACAGCCTGTAGGCGCACTGTAGAGTCGAATTCAGACCCCGAAACAGGTAAGGACTCCTCACCCTATTTCTTATCATGGTATTAAAACTAAATAAATAATTAAACTGTACTGTGTGACTTTATAGATGTATAATTGATTAAGGTTGCCAGTGGAGCCCGAGTCTGATACAGTGTCAGTCTGTTATTGTTTGATCTAATTTTCAGTATTAAATGTAGCATGATGTTTGATGTAATTATGTTATAGTCTCGTATGCATGAATCATGGTTTCTTTTATTATGGTTTGTATTATGGTGAACCCGGTACTGTAGTGTCTTATTTGGTGTCAATTACTGGTTTACATGTTGTGTATGATTGGATGATTGAGATTAAGGAAAAAGGAAAAAGGGTTATGTGAATTGATAAGTGGAAAATGTGGACAGCCTAACTAGATATCCTGAGAGATGGTGGACGGACCGGGTCTGTAGGGAACCCTACCGGGAACGTGGTCTCTCATACCGGACGGGGTATGGGGACGGCCCGTTTCACCCTCATACCGGACGGGGTATTGAGGTTCATGGTTTTAGCGCCCATACCGGACGGGGTATGGGAACGACCCTGGAATCAAGTTGTAAATGTTAATAGTTCACGTGTAGAGGGGACCCCATATGGATCCTCAGGGATGCTAGTAAGCTGGTAAAAGAGGAAATCTATTTCCTGATGATTGAAATGTAAAGGTGTGATATATGTTATGTTATAAAGTGTATATGATTTCATGATATTATAAGGTTATTGTTTTCATAGATCTCACCGATGTAAGTGGACAGTAAAGGTTTTTTTTATATGTTAATAAACGAGTTTGTTATAAATTATGCTCTATTTGTCATTTTGTTTTCTACCCACCTTTACTCCCGTGGCGGTGAGATAGTGTGATGTCTTTACTGGGCTGGACTAGCTCATCCCTTATTTAAACATTTCAGATCAGGAAAACGTTGTTCCCGAGCCCGTTCCGCAGGCAGACGGCGAAGGGGACGCCTAAAGACTTTAAAGTTATATTTATAGTTTTTATTTCGAGTATCTCTCTTAGTTAGTTTGTTCCTTCATATTTTGAGTACGTTTTGGTTATTGTGTAAGGGATGTTAATTAAAATTTTTATTACGCTTCCGCATTTGACATTTTTAATACATATATTTCATTTAAATTTCCAAGCTCGCTACATTAATTGTTTTCAGATATCTCTTTAACATCATATATATATATATATATATATACATATGGTTGTATTTAGCTTTTAGTTTTACATTTTAAAAGTACTTTTGCAACTAAATAATTAAATATAATTTTTTTATTCAAATCCAAAATCTAACTTTAATATGTTTGAAAACAAAAGTTAAAACATGTAGGTTTTGTAAAATAACTTTAATAATTTTCACTAAAAATTTACATTTAAAATTTTAAAATTATTTTCACTCAAATTTTATAATTATACACGTACCTTACCTACGACTGCTCCCATTTAGGATTGCTTTCTGTAGAACTTTACCCACATTGTGGTATATATAAATTGAACTCTTAGCTTCTTTTTTCTTTTTTGTTACACACACATGTATACACACATACAACAGAACAAGCTATTTGATTTCTTCTTCTTCTTCCTTGTCGTCCTCGTCTTCTTCTTCTTCTTCTTCTTCTTGTTCAGTAATATACCGTTTCAGATATGAATAGAAAAAAAATAGGAAGAAAGAAGAAGAGAGGGAGGGAGAAGTAAGGAAGAAGCCAAATACTTTTATCTCAGTATTTAGTTTTATAAAAAAAAGAATTTACGATATTTCTAAACAGAATGTTATTATTTATACAAATGAGTTTATCTGTTAATGTTTAGGGTTATGATCTTATAATATTCTTAATTAAATATTTACAAGTACATAAAAAAAAAATAA